TTGCACATTGTCACTGCACAATATGACTAAATATTGCACATTGTCATTGCACATCATCATTGCACTTTGCACGCTGCAACTGTGCGCTGCACGCTGCCATTGCATCTTGTCATTGCACGTTGCACGTTGTCATTGCATGTTGCACGTTGTCATTGTCATTGCACCCTGCGCACCACTGCTGGCCATTGCATGCGGGAGCTGCACGCTGCCAGCACAGCTCCTGGCTGGCAGGTTAATAAACCATGAGCAAGAYGCACTTGCCAGCGATTCCTAGGGCAACGGCTTGAGCTCCCTGCTAAAATCYTTCAATTATCCCCGAGGCTTCTAGCTAATTGATCCGCACATAAAAATYAGGCGATAAAAAGGATAATGAAACATCAATAACAAGCAACGGCTCCTGGAAGCGGAATCCGCGTGCGTCCTGCGACGCATAAAGGCTGTGGGAGCGGCTTCCTCGCCTTGTCCTCCTTGAGAAACCAGCGCCTGATTAATAGCTTAAATGTATTTAATTCCCCCCAGAATCATTAAACATGGTATCTGTTTCATTAAACAGATACAGGACAATTCACCTTGTGTAATCAGATCACATAAAACTTTGCTTTGGAGCCACTCCAGGCATGGCATAAAATTAATGTCATGGAACAAAATACTGATTTCACGGAGCCTTCGGCCTCAGCTTCCCGAAGGCACCRCTGCAAATAGAGGAGAACAACCAGGTTTCCTGGGTGCCAAAGGCAGGAGCTCCCAAACCCTGAGCGAGACCCTGGCCCCAGGAGGCTCCAAACTCCATTTAAAATCCTGCAGYGGTGGAAAATCTCTCTCTCTCTCCATCTGGGCAGGTTAATGACCCTGCCAATTACCCCTAAAGCTAATGATGCTGCTGAGGTGCGTCCCCGGAAAGCCTCGGGATGCGTTTTGCTGCGCATCCAAACCGGAGCGCGCTGGGGCCGGCGGCAGCGGCGCRTCGCCCGCGTCCCCGGGATGCGCGAGGCCGGCAGCACCTTCCCAGCCAAGCCTCCCACAGCACCACTGAGCAGCTACAAATCCGGGGGAAAACCTGGAAGAACAGGGGCCCTGCAATATCCCTGCGATGCAGCGCGGGGTGGAAGCTCCATCCCAATGCGGCGCCAGCACCGAGGCGGGAGCCAGCGCCGAGCCGTGGGAAAAAGCCTCCTTAAACCCGGAATTAGGAGCAGCAGATGTTCACAGGAGCCAAGCAGTTTAACCGTTTGCAATGAGGCCGATTGCACGGCAGCTGCTTGCGGATGGGCACGGAGCGGGCACGGAGCGGGCACGGGCACCTACCTTTGCCCTGCCAGTGCGCGTGGGCGGCGAAGCCGATGTGCCCGCCGTACTTGCGGTTGAACTCGGCCATGAGCGCCTTGTAGGGGTTGCGGACGAGCAGGATGGCGGCGTCGAAGGCCTCGATCTCCTTCTGGCCGCTCTCGTGCGTCTTCACGCAGATGGTGCGCCCGCTGCGCCAGTGGTCCCGCTCGCCCTTGAAGCCTGGCAGCACCGGGGGGATACGGAGGGAGAAGGAGAGGGGTGAGGGGTGGGATGGGGTCCCGAAATCCCGGCGGGGGAAGCGGTTGGAGCTTGCAGATCCCTGCATCCCTTTTTCTCATGGGAATGAGCTGCTTGCTCGAGCTGTGACTGGTGCAAATTGCAAGGACCGCAATTTGCAAGGACTGCAACTCGTGCAAATTGCAAGGGCTGGCAGTGCCAGGGAAAAGAAGGAAAGAGCTCCTGATCCTTGGGAAAACGCTGGCAGCTTCAAACCCAGCTCCAAAAATGGTATTTTCTTGGTGTGGGGGAAAAATGTGGGAATTACCTGGTGGGAGAGGGTGGTGCTCGGGAGCAACAGGAGCTGCTCGCTGGRAGTGCAAGGGGTGCAAAGGAGCGTGGAGGAGGTACAAAAGGGGAGCAAAGGGCTATAAAAGGAGCTGCAAAGAGCATGCAAAAGGGGGTGCAAAGGAGACGCAAAAGTGGGTGCAAAGGGGAGCAAAGGGRGTGCAAAAAAGTGGATGTAAAGGAGGGGTGCAAAGGAGGTGCCAAAGGGAGTGTAAAGGGGAGCAAAAGGGGGTGCAAAGGGGAGTAAAGGAGAGTGCAAAAGGGGTGCAAAGGGGGAATGAAGTGGCTGCTAAGGAGGTGCAAAGGGAGTGCCAAAGGGTCCCAAAGGGGTGTCCAGGGGGTGCCGAGGGGCAATGGAGCGGCTGCAAGAGCCCGCTGCGGGTCCGCGCACCTTTGTTGTAGAGGGAGCCGTCGAAGTAGTAGCTGCCGGTGTAGTAGCCGGTGGCGAGCTCGATGAGGTGCCGGGCCCACGTGTTGCCGGCGCCGGGGAAGCTGGCGAGCGCCACGACGCGCCGCGAGCGCGCCGGCAGGAACCGCCGGTCCATGCAGCGGTTGTCTGCAAGGAGACGGCCCGGGCGGCGTGGGGCGTCYGCGCGCGGGTGCAACGAGCTGCCCGGGCTCGGCCGCTCACCTTGCACCTGCGTCTGGTAGACGAGGAAGTAGTCGGCGGTGCCGCAGCTCTCGAGCTCGTCGCCGGCGCAGCGCTGGGCGCAGAGCTGCTCGTCCTCGCGCTCGTGCAGCGTGAAGAGGCGCGTGGGGAAGCCGCAGCGGCAGGCGGTGCCGGCCAGCGCCGACAGCGGGAACTCCTGCGGCGGGGACGGCGGCAGCGCGGAGCTGCAGCGAGCTGCGGCACCCTGGCTGCATCGCCTGCACGGCCAGCTTGCTGCATGCATGCAATGGGCAAGTGCATGCAATGGGCAAGTGCATGCAATGGGCAAGTGCATGCAATGGGCAAGTGCATGCAATGGGCAAATGCGTGCAATGGGCAAATGCGTGCAATGGGCAAGTGCATGCAATGGGCAAGTGCATGCAATGGGCAAATGCGTGCAATGGGCAAATGCGTGCAATGGGCAAATGCGTGCAATGGGCAAATGCGTGCAATGAGCTGCGTGCATGCAATGGGCAAATGCACRGGCTGGCTGCAAGAGCGCTGGGCTGCTGCAAGGCAAACGCTCACTTTCAAGAGCAGGAAAAGCACTGGCTTGCACAAAGCCCTCAGCACCACAAACACGAGGAGCAGCAGGATATGGGGGTGACCACAGGGACCCCAGATCTGCTCGGAGCAGCTTGGGTGCAGCTATGGGTTTATCCAGGGTGGCCTCTCCTCGCCCATTAGCGAAGCCGGCAGTGCCGGGGGGCCGGCAGCCGCCCCCCTCGCCGGGTACCTTCTCGGTGCAGAAGTCCACGCACTTGTCCACGGACATGTTGCGCATGGCGCRGGCGGCGGGCAGCGCCACGGACACGTTGTCGGGGCGGCGGAAGCAGCCGCGGAACACGGCGCTGCCGTCTGCGGGTGACAAGGGGCACCCGGTCGGTGCCGCGCGCGCCCAGGCGAGCCCGCCGCGCGGCACGGGGGCACCCGCGGGGCTTACGGCGCCGCGCCGCCTCCTGCGCCAGCTCCAGGCGGTAGACGGAGAGGCGGTTGGCGCCGCCGCACGTGGTGCCGCGCTCGCCCTTGCACGCCATGGCGCACTCGGCCTCGCTCACGTTGCCCGCCTGGATCTTGTGGCCGCAGTAGCACTCGGCGCCGAACTCCAGCCCCGCGTACAGGTAGCCCCTGGGGGGGTGACGAGAGCGTCAGGGGGGTGACAAGCGGCACGGGGGGGGTGACAGGGTTGCAGCGAGGCAGCTGCGGCTGCAGGGTGTCCCCACGGGACTGCATCGATGCAGGTTGCAAATGCAAAAATGTGGTGCATGGAGAGGGGAAAAGCTCCCTTGGGATGCTCSGAGTGGAGGGACTGGTTTTGGGGTTCCCACGGTGCCACCTGCTCCCAGGGAGCACCGCATCCCAGCATGATGGGGAAACAGGGCGGGGAATTGGCAGGAACGCAGAGGGCATGGCAGGGAAACAGGGGAGGAATTGGCAGGAATGGGGCGGGGGGGAATAGGCTGCAATTGCGTGAGAGCCGGGAGGGCAGCGTGGCGGGCGCCGCTTCCTACCGCTCGGCRCAGTTGTCCTGGCAACGGAACACCGTCATCTTCTTGTAGTCGAAGAAGGAGACGCCGCGCAGCGTGCGCCGGCGCGGGCTGTCCTCGAAGCAGCCCACGTACCTGGCTGGGGACAGAGCGCCGCCGYGTCGGGGGCCGCCGCGCACCCCGTCTCCGTCCCGGTGTTCCCAATATTTTTTCCTTCTTTTTTTTTTTGCATTCCAAGGAGGGGGGACCAGAGGCTGTGGCATCCCTCCTGCGTCCTCGTCCAGCACCAAAACAGAGGCAAGTGGCCCCAAAAGGGAGCCGCTGCGGGTGCCGGGCTGCCGGCGGGGGCGAAGCGGCCCCTTCCGCAGCCGCCGCCGCGGGTTCTGGCTGGGTTTGAGCTCGGGGCTGCTGCAAAGTCCCCACATGGGGACATGAAAACCAACTTGGGGCCACTTGGCACCCGGCGGGGAGCACTGCAGGACCCGGCAGCTCTCCAGACTCCCACAAGAGCACAGCGCCCAGCCAGATGTGCCCAAGACCCCTCCAGCCGTGCCAGTCACCACCCAGCTGTGCCCACCGCTCTGAACCCCGCTCCAGCTGCGCCCATGGCACAAGACTCCTCCAGCTGTGCCCACCAGAGCGAAGAACCCATCCAGATGTTCCCAGGGCAGCCAGGGCTCCTCCAGCTGTGCAAGCCCAGCCTTGGCAGCCCGCGTGGGGCCCCTTCTGGCTGTGCCCATGGCCTGAAGAGCCCTCCAGCCGTGCCCACCAGAGCGAACAGCCCACCCAGACGTGCCCATGCCCCACACCAGCCCTCCAGCTGCTCCCGCTGGTGCAGCCGACTCGATTCCCTGGGGATAGATCCGTCGGGACAGGGCTACTCCAGCAGTTTCCCGGCGCGGGATGTGCATTACCCAACCGCAGYGCCCAGGACTTGCGCGCACCGCAATTACAGGCAGGCGACTGGGAGACCCGGGGAGTTTTTAGCGCACGCTGCATTTGCCCGGTGCCCCAGAGGGGCATTGCTGCACCCACGGCGTGCCCAGCACCCGGAGGAGTGCTGGCGTGTGCACGGCCTGTCCCCGTGCGCCGCTGCCAGCAGGACGGGCAGGCRGCACTTTGGGAGTCAAGGAGCAGCTCCACGTGCGCCTCTCCCTGCTCATTAATAACGTGTGGATGTGATGCTCCCGGAGCCCGAAAACATGCAAGGAACGGGAGCGATGCGGGACGCGGAGCCGCGTGCGCACTCACCTCTCTCCTCCTCCTTGTCCCGTGCGCCGCGGCTCCCAAGCGCCCGCGTCCCGCCGGAGCCGGCGGCCCTGCCGGCGCTCCTGGCCCAGGGCCCGTAGCGCGGGGCGGCGGCGGCGGGCAGGGCGCGCGGCGCGGGCGGGCGCGCGGCGGCGGCGCGGGGCGGCGCGGGCGGGCGGCGGGCGCCGCGCGGTGCCGCCACGCCGGCGTGCAGCAGCAGCAGGCTGCCCGCCGCCGCGTACAGCGCCAGCAGCGCGCAGAGGCGCGCGGGCCGCCGGCGGCACGAGCGCTGCAGCCTCAGCAGCACCTTGGCCATGGCGCCCGCATGCCGGCCCGCGCTCCCACCGGGGCGCCTCGCGCACGGTCACCCCGCCGCCGGGCACGGGGACGTTGTGGACGAGGGGAGCATCGCTGCGGGGGGCCCCTCCGGAGGCGCCGCGCTCTGGGATGCTGCCGGGATGCTGGTTCCTCACCGCAGCCTCGGGCCGGGACACGTCCTGCAGGAGAGGGAAGGGAGCCGTGAGCGCAGCTGGAGCCGGCGGGAGATGCAGCAGCCGGAGCCTCATCCCGAGCCGGAGCCAGCGCCTCTCCGTGACCGGCGGCACCACCAGGGTTCCTCCCCTGGGAGAAGGGAGGCCTGATGGGCACCGAGGTCCCATGGGGTCTGCACAGCGCGAGGCGGGCMAAGGAGCCTGACATCCCCCTGGGAAAAGAGCCTGGTGGGTTGAATGCTACGAGTCAGCGGGGACTCCACACGAGGCATCTGCAGAGACACCCGCACTGTGCTGGGCCCACGCACACAGAGGGAGCAGCCATCCTCTCCTCCACCCTTCGTCCCACCACCCTTCGTCCCACCAYCCTKCRTCCCACCATCCTGCATCCCACCATCCTTCATCCCACCATCTCCCGGGAAGGGGCAGAGCATCCCGACAGTGCTCAGACTGCAGCAGCCCGTGGGATGGCATGGGATGGGATGGGATGGGATGGGATGGGATGGGATGGGATGGGATGGGATGGGATGGGATGGGATGGCTGCAGCCAGGACATGCCACCTGCCCCTGACTCCTCTTATTCTAGGTCAGGAAACAAAAATAAAGGGAGAGCCAGAGTGCCATTAGCTTAACGGCCTCGACGTCTCTGCCATCTGCCTTCAGTTGATTAAATAAAAAATATTGGCAGAACATATGGCATGAATTATACATCAATATTTTAACTCGGCTTCCCAGGGCGGTTGCACCGGGACCTCCTCTCTGACGCTGCTCCGGTGGGATGCACCCCTCCGTGCCGGGATGCACCGATTCCAGCGGGATGCACTGGCCCGGTGCCAGCTGCCCGGAGGGGATGAGGCACTCGGAGTCTGTTCCCGCTCCGGCGGGATGCCCGGGCCGACGTGCAGCAGCTCCGGATGGAGGCCAGGGCTGCTGCTCGCCCTGCGCGGGACAAGCACCATCCCGGAGTGACTCCTTCCCTGGAGCATCCCTGAGTGCCCAGCGCTGCTGCAGCCCCGCAGCCGTCCAGGGCACGGAGCCAGGGATGAGCAAGGCGGGACGGAGCCCATGGGCTCCCGGAGTGCCGGCCGGCCCTGCTCGCTCCCGCGCGGCCCTGCTCGCTCCCTCCTACCTCGGCTCACCCTGGGAAGCCCAAATCCTCGTTCCGCGGCGGGGACCCGGATTCAGCCCCGCTCCAGGGCTTCCSTCGCAGAGCCAGGGCAGGGGGACCCTCAATCCGCGCAGCGCCCGGCTCCTCCGCGCGGTGCCGACGGCTCCGSCGCTGACCGGGACGGACGGAGCGCCGATAAATTATACATGGGAGCCGTGTCTCCAAATTGCTCGGCAATTGCTGGGCACAGGGTTCAGTTGCCTTCAAGCACCTCCTCGCCTGTGAGCAGCGCTCACGTGGCTCCCCCAGCCCAGCGAACAATCAGCCCATTAAAAACAGCAAATTAACGAGCACAAGGGCTCCATTAGCAGGAGAAGGCGACCGAACTATCCAATTTCATCACATCATTAGCATTTCTTATCAGAGAGACGGGGGAAGAATAGGTCTTTAAAATACACAAGGACGGGATGGAGTCTAATGTCCAAAACGGGGCCAGGCGATCCGCGTGGGAGCCACCGGCGAGCGGGACACGGTGTCCTGGATCCAGGGAACACCGTGAAGGATCCAGAGCGCGGGGTGCAGGGCATGGTGAGCAATATCCAGTGCATCACGTGCAAGATCCCGGGCAGCGGGTGCAATGTCTAGCACCCRGGGTGCAATACCCGGTGCCCGGGGCGCAGGCTCCAGCACGTGCCTCGCTCCTGGACCTGGAGCTCGGTTTGGTGGCTCCTGCTCCAGCCGGAGCAGACACGGAGCTGCTCCAGATTGCATTTAAACACCCCAAATGCAGGGAGCAAAGGCAGCAAGCGGGGCTGCTTGGGTGCAGCTCTGTGCTCTGCCCGTCCCCACGTCACCCACAGGGCCACCAGCGCCGGCCCCCAGACCCTGCTGCTCCCCGGGCAGGGGGACGCGGGGACCCTCACCGGGGCGCGCGGGGCCGTTCCGCAGGATTTGCCCATCTGCCAATAGACGTTTTGGGTTCTTTTCCCCTCYAGGACTTGCGATCATGCTGCAAGGTTTGTAAATCTTCCTCCTCGCTGCAAATCGATGGAGGGTTTGAGCCGGAAATTAGGCGGCCGCCTTTCCCGCTCGCGGGGAGGAGCTGCCGTTTAAACACCCTGCAGGAGATTTCCCCCTGGCTTCAGCGCTTAGTGAAGGCCGAGGGGATGGTGGCCAGGGCCACGGCCACCAACACTGGCCTCGCGGCCACCCACTCGGGCTAGGAACCCCCCGGGCTGCCCCTACCCGAGACGTTCTGCACCCACCCGACCTGGACGCTGCACCGCGCCCTGCATCCCAAAGCTCTGTCTGGTTTAACCGCTCYGGTTTAGCCAAGCTGCGTGGTGCTGAAAGGGAGGTTTTGCTGGGGGATGCCCGGGGGGGCTGTGGTGCCCCCGGCCTCACCGGGGCAGCCCACGGCACATAAGCCCCGTGCGAAAGGTGATTTAGCGCCGCTCGGCTGACACTGTGTGTCTGCAAATTGGCTTAACCTAATGAGTTTTAATATGCATTATGCTCTAGGTATTTTATGCCCCGTCTGCACAATCCGGTTAGGGCTTTGAGGATGTCTCAGCGAGCTGCTCCGCAGGCGCACGCCGAAGCAGCACCGGGAGAGCCGGGAAGAGGAGAGTGGGAGACAAAATACCCCTCGGAGCAGCAGCTCCCACAAACAGGGTCCCTGGGGTTTGCAAATGCAACTGCAATAAGGAGGRGGACACGTGGACAGCGGGGATGCATGGACAGCTGTTGTCCTTCCCTTTGCGCTCTCCCTGGGGATCCATGGAAGCTGGGATGCATGGGCAGGGGGGCCGCTTTTCCCATGCTCGCTCCTTGGGGATGAATGGACAGCAGGGACACACAGACAGCAGGGGAGAAGGAGGTTGCATAGGCAGGGATTTCTATTCCCTGCAGCATCCCGGCGTGGGAGCTAAGCTGGTCCCGCGCATCCCAGGAGGATCCTGCCTGGGGCCTGGCAGCTACGGCTGGGAAAAGCCAAGCCCTTCCCAGGGTCTGCTGCCCAGCAGGGACCACGCTGGGAAGGGAACTGGCTGTGTGGGAGAGACACTAAAACCATGGGAATCTGCATCCCACAGGATGCAGGAGCGAGGCTGGGAGAGAGGCTCCTGCCTCAGCCGGGAACTCCTGGATCTGGGAAGCAGCCCTGGAGGCAGGATGGGACCCTGGGCCGCGCAGTGACCTGGGGCAGGGCTGCAGCGAGCCCGGAGCACAGGGAGCGGGAAGGAAACCTCAGAYGGGGCGGGCGCTGCTGGAAGGCAGGGATCGGGTAACCGGGAGCAAGCGGGCCGGGTGCCAAGGGGAGCGCGGCTGCCGGGGTGAGCGCCAGGGCAGCGGCCCCGCATCCCCGTCCCGCGGTGATGGAGAAGGTCCCGGGGCGCGGATGAGCCGCTTGGCTTTGGGGATGGGTGAGGTGSCCTTGCTGGGAGAGGATGCGCCGGGCGCCTGGGAAGCTGCAGTGCCAGGGGGACCCCCAGGAAACGGGGCAGGGCAGAACGGAGCTGCAGCCCAGCACCAGCAGCCCCAGCAAAGCAGCGGGAACGGCCTTGGCAGCCAGTCCCCTCCACGTCCCCCCCTGCCACCCCAGGGCGAGCGTCAGGAACAACTGATAGTGCTGCCTGATAGCGAAAGGGCTCTCTGAGGAGCCCGGCCGGTGGTTTGCAGCCCCAGCGCCCAGCACAGCCCTTCAAACAGGGAACCTGCTCACGGATCCCGGCAGGGATCCCACAGCTCTGAGGGATGGTGGGGAGGCCTCGGGACCACGCACAGGAGCACCAAGCTAGGCCCAGTGGGTCCCCACGCACACCTGCACCGAACATGCTCCCCCCAGCTCTCCCAGTACCGAATTGCCACAAAACTTTGTTCAATCCTGCATTCCTCACCTAAACAGCGACCGGCGTTTTGTAACACCCGCCTCAAGGTAACCTTCACGCGCTTCTCCTGCTGCATCCTGCTCTTCCCCGCACGCACAGTTTGGGGCTTTTCCGTTAATTATCTTAAATACTCTAATAAATCGCCAGGGCAGATGCTCAAAAGAGGGGGGGCGGGAGTGGGAAAGCCAGTGAAGAGGGAAAGTTTATCCRGGAGGATGCTGCCGCCGGCCGCGGATGCTCTTGCAGCCGGTGCTCGGAGCGGGCAGCGCTGCTGCCTCCATCCCTCCCTCCCGGCTGCAGGAGCCGCSGGGGACGCGGCCTCAGGCCGGGCCCCCCCGGCGCCGCCCCCGCGCCCCCCAGCCCCCCGCTTATCGATTTGTCTCCCTTTGGGGCCACTGCGGCTCCAAGCGCCTCCCCAGCGCATCTCCCCCCCGCGCAAACTTCGCGGCCGCCGCTCTG